TGTGTTAGATTATTTATTGTTTTGCTGATTTTAGATCAAATAAGTATAAGAAGTTCTTGGCATTAAAGATTAGAAGACAATAATTTGTCAAAGGGGCTGGTGTTGATTTGATTAAAGAGTTGCTTCTTTCTAGTGTCAAGGTTGTTTCTGTCAGAACATAAAAAAATAAACACACAGAAAGATAAATGAAATCAGAAAAAGAAAAATAAGATTGGGGGCAAAACTGCAAGCAAAGCAATACGGACAAATTCCAGGCTCTAGCAATTCTCTCTGCTTGTCAATTTGTCAGATGGTTGTGACTGATTAAAAAAATATGAATGATACAGCGTTCCAACCATCTGAAAAATTTGTTGGCATTTTGTTATTGTTCTTTTTTTAAAATTCTCTTTAAAATAAAAGAATATGAAAATGGCTACTTTCAGTGGGGAAACAAGTCCCAAACTTTTCTTTTTAAGGTAAAAGAAAGCAAAAATATGTCCTAATATTGAAAAGAAAAATATAGAAAAACAAATATAACCAGGTCAGTAGTTTTATATTAAAGAACAGCATTTTCAAGGACCATCTGTTTTAAACTTGGAATAACTGATTTCTGAAAACATAGCATGTATCCAATATAATTTTAATTGGATTAAACTAATTAGATTTTCATTAGCCTAAACTAATTAAAATTAGCTCCTGGATGTGTCCCATCCTGGGGCAACACAAAGCACATTAGTTCTTTCTTTGATGGCTTTCCTTTTGTTTCTGACTTACATTTATCTTATCTCAGTGGACTGCAAGCATCTTTCTGTCTCAGCTAAATTCTGTACTGGAAGAATGTGATGCAAAAACAGAGAAGTAAAAATTACTTTGCTCTCTCAATACTTCTTCTTTCTTCAACATTTTAGTTTGTTGATAGTGGTCACTCTCACCTTAGGTTGTTTGCAAAGATAGCGACAGAGTTCTCCAATATACTGAAACACAGTCACGTTGTATTTCTTGCAATCACTCCAAAACTGACTCGCCGAGAATTTCTTCTTTAGCACACAAGTGGCACCTAGGAAAGAAGGCAAAAAGAAGCGCTGGAGAAAAACTTCAAGGTCAGAATCCACAAAAGAGACAAACGAGGTCGCCTCGCTTTATCTACACATGTTGCTCACTTACCAGACTCATAATTCATCAACAGTCATTTCTATCAAGTGTATTTAAATACACTGATTATATGGTCTGGTAGCTTTAAAATATTCAAGTTGAAATTACGTATTTTCACTGGAAATATGCTTTTTGTGATGCGTGAGATTAAAGTAATGGCAAAAATAAATATAAAAGTTAGAATTATTAGAGCATGACCATATATACATAAGGTTTATTTTTAAAGGCTTAAAGCAGCCTCAATTATATTTTGAGATCAAGATTTAATAAGACAAGTGAGTAAAA